AGACTCAGAAAATCTCTAAAGATTCTTCAAAATCTAATACGCAAAAATTCTAGCTCAAAAAAAGCTAAATATTTTAGTGAATTAATCAACTTTAATATTTAGTCTTCTTATACTTTTAATTATATAACTTTGTAAGTATACTGTAAATAAATTTTTAATAAAGACGCAAATAGTGTAAAGAGGTCAACTTCTAAAAAAAAATAAATAAATAAAATAAAGATGCATAATTGTGTAAAGAGATGTTATCTCTTTAAAAAAAAAAAAATGCTTATAGAAGATAAAGTCTCTATTAATAAGTTAGTTAAGGATACTTTTTAAGATATAAGCACAATTGCCTTTATAAAACCACTAACATATAAAGAAACAACAGTTTGCTTAGATCAATAGATAATTATCTTTGAGACAACTAATGATTTTGACCTTGCATAAAGAATACCAAGACAGATCTATATCAGTAATCATAAATTACAACTGACTAGAAGGAAGTATCTAAAGTTTGCTACTATTGCAAAAAAATAGGTTATATTAAAAAAGACTGTAAAGAATTCTAATTCTTAGTAGACTAGAGACAAAAACAAAAATAATTAAAAAGGTTAAGAGAAAGCAAGTCTGAAAACCAGATTAACGCTAATATCTAATCTAGCTTCAGCTCAGATAACTCTTATATCACTGATATGGCTATTAAAGATCCTAATAGCTCAGCTGAACCAGATACTACACCTACACTTTTCAATTCACAAACTGATAAGGTTCAATCTACAAACCTAAAGAATAATCTCAATAGATCACTAATATTAAACAATAATACTATTTCTACTCTGAAGCAAAATTCAGATAAAGAAATAAAAATGGAAACAGATTTTTCAAACATGGTTACAACCTCTAAACTTGAAGAAAATATATCTAATACTGAGAAGGCAGAAACTGTATCTGCATCAACAAAGAAGAAAAAAAGAAATAAAAGAAAGCTCCAAGCTTCAAACAATGGGATCTAAATAGCAGAAACTGAAGCTACTTCAAAAGAGGCTTCTTAATCACAAGATTAATAGCAATACCTACTATATGTGTAGCTAATAGCTTTATTAATACCTTAATCTTTCCATATGATTAAAATTGACAAACTAAATGTCAAAGGCCTTAACAAGAATATTAAGGCCTAAAAAACTTAAACACTATTAAAATTCTACAAACTAGATCTAATACTACTTCAAGAGACAAATCTAAATGACTCAGCAACAAGAAAATTTCTTCCCAAATAATGGGAATATAACTCTGTTTGGTCAGCTAAGGCTGCTACTTTAGCTAGCAAACTAAACATAAAATTTAATGACAAAAAGATTACTCACAATGACTGAGTGATCACAGTTAGCTTCTCTTTTAAACAACAATTTATAGCTACAAATGTTTATGCACCTCCAAGTCAGAAACAAAGATATCAATTCTTCAACAATTAGTCCTCAATAGCAAATGATAATGCTCTATATATGATAGCAAGTGACTTTAATACAAATCTTGATCCAGAAATCAACCACATAAGCCAAGCACCTCTACACCATGATAAATCAAGAGACCAAATCAAAAAATTAATGAAGGACTTTATTGATACTGCTAATTTTATGAAGAATGATTTCTTTATTACCTTTCACCAGACTACACAAAACAACTAATGAATGGCAACACATTTGGATTATATATTTGTTAATACAAGTTTTGGATAACTTAACTTTGAAATCTCAACTTGATATTGTCAAACACTAAGCAGACAATTTAAAGAAATAAACTAAATAACGCTCACAATTCATACAGAATTGCAGAAAAGTTTCAAAGTATTTAGATAGGATCACACAGATATTGTCACCCTCTAATTTTTATTAATCTATATTTTCTATCTATTTTCTATTATATAAAATCGTTTTTACATATT